TTCCCCACTGCATACACCTGTGGTCCGGAGTTTTGCAAATATCTCAGCACTTCATACGAGTTATATTTCACAACATACCTTGCCATTAAGAAGAAAAAGGCAGTAAATAAAAGAGTTAAGGTTGTTGGTAGCGTAGAAATTATTTATTTTCTTCAGTAGTAAGCAATCACGAAGAGGCATGTAATACGAATATTGATCAATATAGATGGAAATAACTTCTATGTTCAGACGGTTTTTCTTTTGTAGTAGAGCTACGCCAGATCTTCGGATTCTATAGTATTTTAGCCTATGGGATATGATGATGTCTTTTGGTGCTATTTCGAAAGGACGAATGCTTCTACCATTGGAACTACGGCACTTCCATAAATTTTCAGGGAAGTCCAGAAAAACAGGAAGGACATGTGGTGGGATGTTTAGGATTTTTACGATAATACAAAGTAGTTTACCAACGTCGAATTTAAGACTATTCATCATTGGTCAATAGCCTGGTGATTTTGTCAGTAGGCAGTACAAGCATTGTAATGTATATTTGAGCGTTCTTAAATCAACTGCTAACTCATAGGACTGCGTGTGTTTATTTGTATGTTATGGTATAACCTTGTTAGGTAACTGTATTTTACCGCGACAATTATGGCGTTACGATGTAGCTATGGGAAAAAAATTTCAGCGAGAAATGGGCAAACGAGTTGGATGGGATATGGGGTTTGTCTACTTTTTGTCTTGAAATCCATGTTTTTTCCTACCTGTTTTTTAAATAAAAAGTTTCGCATTGAAGCAGTTTTAATATTTAAAAATTTTCTGGGGTCGTACTAGCCAAATCGAAAGTTTGATTGCAGTTTGGAGGACCGAATATTGCTGAGATCTCTTGGGCAACGTCAGCGCCATTTGGATCAGAAGAAAATAAATCAACTATCGAGCATTCTTCAATCAAAAATTATGGAAGCAGTATCAACTAGCGAGGAGATAAATCTTAGTTCTGTAGAGTTCACTAAGGTGTGTACGCTTGGTTGTGCACATCGTTAACTTGCCTCTGTTAACCAGGAAAACTGCTGTTCAATTACTAATGGTCCCATGAGGCTTGATGCCATGTATTAAAATACGGCATATTTGTAATCAGTGATATCTGTGGACTTTCAGGTAAAAGTTAATGGTTCGTTTACTGAGGTGAGCGTGTGGTGGCTTTGCAATGGAGTCAATGATGAGGTCTAACTGTTATTTTCATGACAAGCTTTATCACTTTAAACTGTAGTGTTGAGCAGGTTTGCTTCAGGAGCAAGAGGAGTGCTTGAGGAACCAGCGTCATCTCTTACGCAAGGTCTTATCAGAGTTAATTGGCGTTAATTGCCCAGAAATACAATTCAAACCTGATCGATCACAACTTATAATTCAGGTATATGTTGTTCAATGTTGCCTTTTGCTAATACGATGACTTTGTTTTGTGATCACAATTCTTCTTTGCTAACAGGAAATGGACAGAATATTTCGCATAGCTGATTATGGTATGGACTACCGCGCTCTAAGTAATACAGCAAGAGTGCTTGGAAATGTAGAAACGAAGAAGTTAGATAAAGAGGAATAAAGTATTTATCACATATAAGCCTACTCTATAAACAAGAAGCTATGTAGTTGATTTGATGAAATGAAGTCATACCTTCTATGTAAGTAAAATAGGTGAGAAAATCCACGTATCATCATTGAAAAACGGATATTTCCATAAGCCTTCAAAGGAGTCATAGAAAATCCAGCGCCTCATGTATCTATTAGTAGTGAAATAACGTATAGCCTAGCATGAAATTTAAAGTGTAGATGACTTCTCGAACACTACTGTTATGCATTCGGTAAATAAAGGCTTACGTAAACAATTCAGTGATTCAACAGTAACGACATGACGGGACTAACATTTAGAAGGTATCTTAACCCTTTTATTTACTACCTTTTTCTTTTTAATGGCAGAGTATGTTGCGAAATATAACTCGTATATAATGCTGAGATATTTGCAAAACTCCGGACCACAGGTGTATGCGGTGGGGAACGAACGCGCGCTATTGTCCTTTCCGGGGAGTAGCGCACTTCACCACCATCCGGGTCCTTCGTTTTGCCTGTCTCTCAGCTAGTTCTATTGATCTTTTGCCATCAGCAATCACCCGTCAACGGGATTGATCTGGAGAGCCCAAATCGGCATTGAACCCAGTTAAGCTGAGCCTTAGTTATAATCACAATCTCAACCCTTTTATCTCAGCATTATATACGAGTTATATTTTGCAACATATCCTGCCATTAAAAAGAAAAAGGCAGTAAGTAGAAATGGAGAAAGAGGAGAAATGGAAGACATACAATGAATTGCGGTGGCCTACCGATGCTTCGAGTCAGTGCCGGTATCCTTTCGGACAAGTCTAGTATCAATTTGCGCACTCTGAAGTGTGGATAGGCTTAGAGCCTGACGCGCTGGATTGAAACAATGAGCACATGTGTATTGCAAGGCACCTCTAGCCAACGCGCTAAATGCTCCCTTATTTTGTAAGCAGTGCAAACAGAAAAATACATTGCACCAAAAATTGACAATCTTTACAAAAGAAGTGTTTTTGTTTGTGATTACGATGGGCGTTAGAGAGTGCGAACCAGACAACATACAAAACGCTTCGTTCGCACAAAAGGGTCGATCAAGTAAAGACCTCATAGTTCATACAGAATGTTCAATAGAGCAAGTTTGTGTGAAAGAGTAGAAGTTGAACACGAAAGAACGGTTAACCAACATAAGGCAAGGATGATTAGGCGTAAACATGTGAAAACATGAAAAGTGCTATGGATACTTAGAACACAGATTAGGAGAATATTCTCTATGACACAGACAATAGCGTCCATAATTAATACACCATGCCCAAATATTAGATCTTTGAAGGGCTGAAACTTATTCAACAATTAAGCTCTCATTCATCATGACCTGATTTTATCATACGGATCCGTTGTTGATGCTAACAGCTGTGCAAATGCAGTTCGATTGCTTTCGAGATTTTCGCATCAAAAGTTTACAAAGGGACTTTTTAAAAGTCACGTTTAAAAATATGTAGGTCTCTAAATTGATACAGCGAAACGTTTTTCTAGAAGTTTCTCCAGACAAAGAAATTATCAGCAGTTGTCGAAAAATGTGCCCAGTTCCCAATGGGTTAGAACGTGGATTACATTATCGGACAATGGGATATATGGACGGTTCATAGGCCATTTAAGAGAAACAAATACCTCTAGAACTCCTATAACTCCACCCTATAAAATCTTTACTGAAAACCAGGAGAGGTCACAAGCATGTTGAATATCTGATCATTCTCTGGTCGTGTCAGAGGTGCGACTGAAACTTATTGATAACATGGAAGAAAATCTAGCATTTTTCAGTTCCTTAATAGATATCTTACATTATTCTACAGATTTCCTGATAATTCCTTCAAAGAGTGCAGTTTATGACATCTTCGATATAGTCGAAAGAACAGTCCAGAACTATGAATAAATGACAATCCAGCAGTATGAACGGTCTTACAAACAAGTGGCGCTTGTCTGACATTTCTATAGTGTCCTTAGTAGTGAAGCCAGTCATCACTTATAAGCCCTAGGGCTGCTGATATATGACGAAGACCACGAACAACACTATTTTTTTTTTGTACGATCCGTCTTTGAAATCTACTGGGCAGTCCTAGCACTTTCTACATTCAATTCGTTCTAAAACTGAAACAAACCACTTCACTACCTTCACAAAATTTTAGGTACGTACTTCTTTCCCATATAGTTTACCCAGTTTGTTTAACAAAAAAATCTTACGAACACACCTTTTATTTGAGCGTAAGATAGTATAAGGTAGTTAATGCTGAAGTAATGGTGTGTATGGCTCAGTGGTTGGAGGCGCCACTGTGACACACACGCGGAGTCGATCCCAGTACCCATGCTCACCAAACCTTCCATTCCTCCGGGGTTGGCAAATAGGTACCAGAACTTGACTGCGAGGATAGCAGCACTGGCTCGACACATCGGTAGGCCACCGCGAGTCATTGCAAAAGCCAGATATGCATTCAATCACCTCCAACGATAATTAATGAAGTCGAATGTATCGCGCATCCCTTAGGGATTGATTGATCAATGCCGAGAGCTTTATCCTTTATCCTTTAATGCTGAAGTTAATCTAGAGTCCATCTTTCAAAATCCTTCCAAAAGTTTATCGCCTCACCGTAGCTAGAAGGTGTTCCTCGATGTTGGAGTGCGATGTACAGCCAATTTATACCCTAGCAAAGTCTCTCAAGTCGAGAAAGAGTGCAGCGTTTCCAACAAGAACTCTAGCTAAGTGTTAACCAACACAAGGAATCACCACCTTCCAGGTATCAAATCGCAAAGTGGAAAATCTCCCTCCGATCTATAAAGACCATCGACTACCTTTGGCAGTGACGGGCTGAGAAACGCTTTGGCTAGGCTGACCACGACACTCCAGGGACCCACAATGGTTCACCCACGAAACTCCATTCTCACTACCCTGGCACGGCCGAAAATCACATCTACGATGTCGAGCGGCGGCACAACGCCTGGAGACTGCTTCGGGTTCTGCACCTATAATGTAAGAACGGTTTCTTTAAACGAAGTCTTTTACGCTCTTCATAAGGCCGCGAATCGCATCAATCCCATATGATAGTCTTACAAGAGGAGAAAAGCAAGAAAACCGAAATACGCCTGTGAGATGATGGAACGCGTATCATTCGTGGACGGGAATTTTCGTTAGGAAATTTCGCAAACGTTGGAAATCTACACGCTCCTATTTCCCATCCAGTCACCTTATACGCAATCCTATCACCGCGCTTGGTCATTCCTCATCTTCAACTTCCATGTCAAACAAAACCCAATTGTCGTCAACTGCTACTCATCAATTTGTACAGTGATAAAGGAGAATAGAACCCATGCTACAGTCAGTTGAAGAAATAATCCACAACGAGAAGTCTTTCTATAAATTCGTTGTTAAAAATTTCAACTCCAGATAAGGAACGAGCAATGAAAATGAATACAGGATAGAAAAATTCCGAATAGAACGAAATGAGAATGGAAACAGCATTGAAGCACTTCTATCCGCAGCATGTCTCTTCCATGGGAATTCATTTTTTGATAAGAGAGAGAAGCATGAGAGTCTATTAACGACGCGACTCTTACGGAGATCGACCGTTTTCTCAAGAACAGAAAATGGTGTCTCTCCGACAGCGCAGTGGTACCTAAATTCCTCGCTTGATCTAATTACCGCCTTCGACGTGCGAAGAATCGATCCAGCCGTAAGCCGGAAAAGAACTCCTGTCATCGTGCAATAAAAACAAGAGAAGTTGGGTATGATGAGGGGATTCTCAATAAAATCTCTTCGTTATATGACTGGAAGATAAAGGAAAACTCAACCGAAAGCTATAAGATGTTAAGCGAAGGAATTAAAACTTGTGCGGAACTCGCCTCAGTTCCTCAAACAAGGCGTTCAAACCGCATTACCGCTAACGACTTGTTCGATCTGAGCAGATTGAAGCCTGATCTCACTGCAACTAACAGAGGTGAGAGGAAAATAAAGGTCAGGCTTGGATCTTTGCAGTAAGATTTAGATCGGTATGAGCAAAAACGTTATTGGGAGCAGTTTGAAAACGATCTAGTCTGAAGAAGTCCAGTCAGAATCTGTGCTCTATAATTTTCCCCTATCCGTTCTGATCACTCTATCCCGCTAAGATATGGAATTGACAAAAGAAAAGTTCCATGCCAATCTTTTCCATTCCAAAATCCCGTTTCGGACCTCGAAATCTCCGCTACGGAAAAAGCGCGATGCTTAGTGAACTCAACGAAGCGGGAAGAAATATTGGACTACGCATAAATCGGACGAAGACCATGTTCATCAAGAAATCATGATGCAAAGGTGAACAGGTTAAACTGAATGGTTCGCTTACTACAGAGAACATCTCGTTCGTGTACCTTGGACGTCCAATGAAGATGAAGAACAACATTAAGGAGGAACTGGACGGAAAAGAGGAGGATGGGGAGCATTCGGATCTCTCAAAATAGCCACTAACAAATTAGCAGACCCATAACTCCGCGCTCACCTTTCCGACCAACATTTGACGACTAGGGAATGGGCTTCGCAAACGTCACTATTTTCGATGCAAACCATCACCATGGACGACCCCAGCGCAAAATAGAAACGAATGGAAATTCTACGCAACTTTTGCTGGAGCCCGTACTACCAGTGAAGACGGGCCATCCTAGTGTCGAAGTAAGAAACAGCATCTTAGATACACTTTTGATCGATAATGTGCTCCTCGACTGATCATCTATTCGACGGGAAGTACATAACAACAAAAAATTGCAGAAGAAAATCTGTGCGGTAGAACGAAATAGGATTTTATTATGTATGACGCATATATGGATCATACGCTTTCATTGAAGTTAGAACATAGCTTCTTCAATGAATACTATAGCACAGCTAGATATTTTTTTTGTCATTTCACGTGCCTACTGTTCAGGCTGCATCGAGTTAAGAAATCCAGTTATTTAGAGAAAAATGGAGTGTAGATTGAACGCAACAGTGTTATTTCTAGAAGTATAAGTAAAGGACATAAATTTCTGCAACAGCAAATTTAAAAGTCTATTTAAAGTAAAAGATAATGCTTACTCGATGTTAATGACCGAAGAATTTGGTCAACTAGTTAAAGAGTTCATAAGCTATCACATGTTTGATTTGATTTGCATTGAGGAATTCAGGGGAATGGATAGAGAATTTTTGTCAAGTGAACCAAATCTAAGAAATATGTGAAAATCGATCACCTAAAACGGTAAAACAGTCACGTGTAAAAGAAGTTATACCATAAACATAAGAAAGATCTGTTAACGAATTCCACATTTCACCTAGTAACTCGGAGCAAACGCTATTCCCAGACTAGATAAAGTTGATATGCTGCCAATGTCTTCAAAAAAAAACACCGTAGATATATATACATGTATATATGTCCATATATACATGTATGTATATGAAAACATATACAAGTATATATACATATACTTATGTATATAAATTATATGGACAGACTTATATGAACTGATATCTAATGTAAATGAAAATTGAGGACCACACCATCAAGGAGAGCGTGTTGTACCGTTACACCTGTCAGCTGATTTCCGTCAGTTGTCATTTTTGCTTCGTAAAGCAACCAGTTCACTTTATCATATCCATAGGAACGATTTATGAAAATTTCACAACTGTGCGCCATAGGACTGAACCGCCAGAGCTGGAACACAACGGATTTCGCAAACATCACCAACAGTGATCAATACGTGGACGTATTTAGCTACGATTTAATGAGGTTGATTCATGACGAAATGAACATACATGTACAACTCTCGCAATGTCGTCGGTACTATACCGTACCGATGGTTCTTCATAAGTCATTCCAAAGAGCGATAAAAGATTCATCATAGAAAACAAAAAGTGCGGAGAAGCGCTGAACGCGAACAACCTGTAAATAGTGACGTTGAGAAACACAATGGTGGGGATGCAGATCAGAAATTGAGATGATAGTGAAAGAAATTTACCTAGATGTTGCTAGTTGCACCTCCTTCAAATGAGGAGAAAACAGACGTACAAAAGCTATGAATTCTTTCTCAAAGAAACAACGCAGGTCGACTCCTGTAATCTCACCTCAGAGGTACGCACTGACCGAGGATTAATTCACGAACTCTACAAAGATCGAACTGTACGAATTGAACAAACCTTCCAAACACGAACCACCACCGAAGATTAGTGCAACAGGAATAAGTCGACAATCTTTGTATAAGCGGTAGACCTCTATAGCCCATCTTGGCAGTTCGACGTTGTTACCAAAGGTGATCTGCAAATATAACCAGGTAGTTATTCACTAAAGAAATGAACTCATTAAATAGCATGTCACCCGAAGCTGGCACAAAAGAATAGCCGGAATGATTTTATCCAGAGATTGACCATGGTATGATGGATCTTGGATGGAACGACCACACTTCAGAGCGCGAACATCGTCTTGTTTCTTGTGTTTGTTAAAGCCAATGAAAACTTCGTAAGTAGCAGACTAAAAATACCCAAAGATAAGCGGAAGACACAAAGGCATACGAACGTATTAGAAAAGAAAGCGACATTACCACGACTCTTTCTAATGAAGAGATATTATTTCCTACCAATCTCCGAAGTCGAGAGCAAACTTGTGCAAAAACCATCACAGTTTTTCCTAGAACAAAAACTAACGGGACCATTGAGACAAACAGCTAATTTAACGAGAAATGATACACCTACCATCCATGAACTGAGCTATCCTTAGTAATGAAGCCTCATCGAGGTCAAGAAGTTTCGTTGTGTTATGAAAATGAAATTGTGACTGGTCTGATCCGGCATCACACGAGGATTCTATTTCATAGTTGGGAAAAATTGAGGAGAGGTGGGTAAAAAGCTCCAACACCAGACTACTATCTCTGTAAAAGTATTGTAACAAGGAAAAATCTACGCCCTGTAGAACATTAGAGAACAACTAAAAAAGAGAAAAGCGTTCTCACTTATTTGAAGCGCTCCTCTTCACCAGTTTACGTTTTCGTCCCACTTCATAGAACTTTCTTTTTGTTATGGATATGAAACCACGCTTCCATTTGATGGTTGCTTTTTTCAACTCGAAAACTAGTGAGATCGCCAGAAGAGTGACACGAGGTGTGTTGGTGGATCCATATTCTACAGATGACATCTCTCATACACATTTTCAGAACAAAGAAACAACAACATTCATTGCAGTCACTTAATAACTCAACTAGAGATAAACACAACCTACTACCCTTGAAGAAGTGCAATCCTACTTATCCGAATAGACAGAGATAACAACTCAAGAGACGGACTTCCTATAAACCTTGGCATAAATAATCGATATACTTATTTATATGTTTTTACGAACTGATCTTGTGGAATTTATGCGAGGTTAGCACAGTTGTCGTTGTTACCGATGTTGATGCTGTTGTTGTCCTCGCTGTGGTTGTTTTTGTTGCCGTTGTCGTCTTGTTGCTCAACGGCCTACGTTTCAGCGACTTCACCTTCCTCACAGCCTGTACGTACCATCTGTAGCAGTAGTCCGACAATTCGGTGAACTCCACAGTATTAATGAAAATCCAACATACGAATAGACTCCAATTTTCAATAACTACCCACCGTGCTATCGGACCACCCGTCCCACTCGTAACACCACTGCTCTGAAAAAGGCGAAATCGCTGAAACGTCAGCCGTCGACTAACAACAGCAATAATAATAACAACAATAACTATAGTAACTATAGCTATAAATAACTACAACAACGGCAAGGATAACAACAACAACAACAACAACGACAACGCCGACAACAACGACAACTTGCGTCAACCTCGCATCTGCTGAACAAGATCATTTCATAAGAACATATAAATAAATATAAATAGACAATATATGCAACATTTGGCACCGAAGAAAACTACTGAGAAAAAAGTACACCATTCAGAAACTGCAATATTGAAGAAGACGTACTCTGTTGCCAGTCGAACTCTGCAGTTGTACTTTCTCCTGGCGGGATGCTGGCAGCTTTGACCTTCATGAAACTGCACGCAGGTTTGCGATACAATCTAAAATAAAGCAACGATTCATCTATCCGACGTTGAATAAACGAGCAGAGGACCAAGCACAACCGGGATGGCCGGTATCTACAGTCTGAATAAACAAGGAATTAATGACGATACTCGTAGATCCCAGCCGAGTCTTGATCTTGGTCATGGTCAGCTCTATTTAACCTATAACGTGGTATCATTTACAAGACAATGGCCTCCACATGGAAGGAAATTAGGCATTGCTCGCTTTCATATCTCAGCGAGAGCAACTCGTCCACTCCGCTCGGGGTCACCTTTCCCGCCGGATTTCTGCTCTTGTCTGCCTGCCAGTCATTGATAGGTAGATGACTATAAAACACGAATAGAGCTCTCGGCTGCGATCAATCCCCAGGTTTGCGCTATGCATTTAACTTCATCAAGCATCGTAGAGTTTCTAGAGTTTCTTGAATGCATATTTGGCCTATACAGTTCCTTGCAGTGACCTATCGATGTATCGAGTCAGTGTCGTTATGCTCTTAGACATGTCTGGTACCAATTTGCCGACCGCGGAGGTATGGAGAGCTAGTGAGTCTGAAACGCGGGATGGAACCAACGACCGATGCAATGTGTATGAAAGCGTGCTTTCCACTGAGCTCTGCCTTTCGGGCATATGGAAGAGCGAATGAAACGTCACAGAAACTACGGAACGCGGTAAGCTTGGCGGAGTTGTGGCATTCCGGAATCTGTAGATAAGTGGAATCTTCCAAATATCGTCAACTAAATTCGCGATGGTTTGATTACTTTTCGGACAAACTAAGATGTGAGAAAATGTAAAATGTCCCCTCAAATAGTTTGCTGCCTGTTATTGAAGTTACGGTTGTGGTTTTCAGCTTCGTTTTGATGGGATATGGTTTGCTAACTAGGATGTACAGTAAGACTAGGCGATCATTTCCAATGTTACAACAGAATAGAGTTTTATGTGATGACTGTCGAAGGTATAATACAGAAAGGGCGCGTTTGGCGCAGTAGTTGGAAGCGCCACTGCGACACACACGTGGAATCGATCCCTGCGCCCATGGCCCACCAAGGCTTCCATCAGTCCGGGGTTGCAAATTGGTACCAGACTTGCCTGGGAGGATATCAGCACTGGCACGATACATCGGCAGGTCACGGGCAGGGAGGCGAGTCATTGTAAAGGCTAGATATGCATTCAATCACCTCTAACGATACTTAATGAAGTCAAATGCGTGACGCATTCCTCGGGGATTGGTCAATGCCGAGAGCTTTACCCTTTTTATCCTTTATAAATTAGAAACTAAGGACGCTTAGCACGGCCATCCTGAGATTTTAGGGAAATCACACTCGACCAGCATTCAACATACCAAAGAAAGAGGACAGCGCTAGATCTGAAAAGCAATAATAGGCAAACCATAGAAACTGTTTCCGATTATGGTTCACACACACCAGGTAGGCTTGTTCAACCATAACTTTCACATTGTTCTAGATGTCACAAAACGTATCAAGTGGAATGATGGCCTTTTCAAAAACCAAGAACAAGAAGGATATCACATGCCAAATGGACGATGGAACCCTCGTCGTTTTAATAATGAAGGATAAAGCTCTCGGCGTTGATCAATCTCTTAAGGTTGCGCCATGCATTCGATTTCATTAAGTATCGTTGGGGGTGATTGAATGCATGTCTGGCCTTTACAATGAGTTGCGGTGGCCTACAGATGTATCGAGCATGTACTGCTCTGCTCTCAGAAGTACCAATTTGTCGACCCCGGAATGATGGAAGACTAGATGCGCCTGTGGAGCGGGGATCGATCTCATGTGTATTGCAGGTTGCCTTCAACCACTGCGCCCTTCCTCGCCGTCTTGCATAAGAAAATCCCATCGGTTAATGTTAGTGGCATTGACTTTCTCGTGAGCTCATCTCTTGCCAAAGTTGTCGACTCTAACGAAATTCGCCTCCTCGCCTTGCTATGTTAAACCTTGCACTTCTTTGTCCGAAGTCATCATCGTTGATTCCAACTCACCAAAATCCATAACTGATGACACATACATCTTATGGAAATCTCAAGGAACTCACCGTAACGAGAAATCCCTCCACAAATTTGTTACGGGCGGCTTCGAGGTAAGGGCAGGAACTAGACAAGAACATGAGTACAGAGTCAGAAAGTTCAGGCCACCAGATTACAACGAAAATGACGGTCGCCTTGCTAGACTGCTCTCTGCGGTTCGTTTATTCCACTGAAAATCCTTTTTTTCTTTAGAAATAATGCCATCACTACTAAACGTGGGAATTCCCAAACGGTGATGCTTGTGGAAAAACTGGTTACATCCTTGTGAACAAAAGATGGAATTGACTTTTTCAATGATATTTAATGATGTGTTTGAGCTCTCGACAATTAACTCTTAGGGTCCGGCGCCTGAGTTCGTGTAGCTGCCGCATCCCTCCTGGCGAATGACTGCTTCTTTTTCTTGTGCTTTCTGCTGTATAATTCACTTTTCTATGTGTTTTGCTACTTCAGCTCGGCTCTATCAGCTCGTACCAAACTTTCTTATTTGTAGCAAAAACTAACAGATCTTTGCCTAAAAGATACAAGTTATTCTGCTGAACGATAGTAGAACTCTGATTTCATCGAAACCACAGTATGTATTTAAAAAAGATAAGCCACTTCGGAATTTCGGATACAGAACAGGACGGTGTTTCACAGTGGGTCGCTCATGTTTGTTTCTGCCGCTCTTGCTTTAGAAAATTTACTTAGTTGTATACTTGGACTGCCCGTCCTCACTACTTGTGCGGGCCGCAGCATATTCTCCAATTTTCGGAGTTTTGCTGGTTTAGCCACTGTGTTTTCCTGGGGTCCCAAACTCAATCTGGCCAAAGTCTAAACCTTGTGCAGAACTGACATCAGCTCCGAAGAATCCCTCTCTTACCAACCATCATTTATGTACTAAAGTTGGAACAACTTTTTTGAGCCGAACTTTTTCTGATACTCGGAAAGCAAATTTAAGTTGGCCTTGTTGAGATTTTTTGCTATCCCAAGCTATAAAAATTTATGAGGACATTTATATCTACATTTGGAATCATTCGCGTGTTGTTTCGTCCCACGGTCATTTATGCGTCTAAGGATGGAGTGGTACGTTCTATAAAACCAGCCAAGGTATGTTTGGTCGGATGTTACAATTAAAACCTATGTGTGATGCTACTCAAGGTCTCAACTAGTATGGTTCGATGGAAAGGTGCAATAACCTTTAAGAATGCCATGACGGTACTATTTCTTCGCGAAAACTCTGCGTTTTCACTACTAGGTGGGAAGACTTGATGGCCAAGTGACAAATGAATGCAGGCTTACAAACAATGTTGTAAATTATAACACATACTCTAAATATTCTTCCATCATCCATTATTATGAATTCATTTATTTCCTAATATGCATTTCTACCAACTTAGAGAATCCTATAAAACAAGAGTCCAAAATTTGGAAAGAAAATCTTCTTGTTTTGAAGAAAAAAATCTTGTTTTTTTCTATAATGAGGTCGTAAATTAATTTTATTCCTTTTGTAGGACCCGTCTTTCACGTCGGCTATAGGGATCCCAGCAGTTCTCACATTCTATTTGTTTGCTCGCACCGATCATCTACAAAGGTTTTTTATTTTTTACGTGTTGCTTCGGCCAGTGCTTGAGGATTTTCATTTCATCATGAATATCGTAAAGTGCTGATCGAGCAATTCTTCTAGGTGTCCTGAGATAGCCGTGCTGGAGCGTTTCCAATTGGATCCGGTACCAATTTCCCGACCCCGGAGGAATGCGGACTTGGTTGGCCCGGAGCGGAATCGAACTACCACCATGCTCCTGATGACAGGCATCACTACCGCCGTGCTATCTTTTCCTTCCAATAATTTTTTTCTAGTCAATTTAAATACTTTAAAAAAACAAGGACTGATTGGGAAAGATCACACTGATTTTTCTTGAAAGGAAATGAAAACAATGTCAGAAATTTGTCGTCGCGTACGATTTGTTCTTAGCATATCTATGAGTTATACTGTGTTCTTCCCTTCCACGGATCGGATCTCAAGCCCTTTTACTCGCGAGGCTACGTGGCGCATCCCCAGGTGGCGGATAGGGGGTTAA